TGATGAAATGTGTTCGAAAAAAAAGTTAATTGAAGCAACAAATGCCGTTCGGAAAAAGTTCAATTATATCAAGAATAGTCGCTTAAGTGATCAATCAGCACTCGAAAGAATATATGAGCCAATAATAATACCTTTGGAAGCAATATCTGCCAATACTGAAAAAGCATCTCAAATAAATCAGGTGATGTAGACAACAAAGAGTGCTACATCACACACCGCCAAAAATATAGTTAAAAGTGAGAGTAAAACCGAAATTTGAAGAGGCTTTCTCGAAGGATCTTCAAGCTTCTCCATCGACAACTTCATATTTAGAATCATCTAATGTGCTTGATAATGATGATGAGGTACAAAAGCACATACAAAAGTTACTATCAGGAAATCCCTCATACGATACCATCTTTGGAGTACACATGAACACTGTAACGGGAAATTTACAAGTGGGTGTAGCTGATATGGAGTTCATCGATGAGAAAATTGTGTTGAAAAAAATGGTAAAACTATTGCCACTAATCAGGGTACCCCAAAACTATATAAACTATTATTTATGAAAATACCATCGGGAAATATCCCCTCGTCCGATATGACCACTTATGGTGATATACTCAAATTAACGAAGGCAGTATAGAAACACAATGAAAGAAAATAGGGTCTACTATCAAATAATTGGAAGAAATATCGAGAAATAATCCTACCACTATTATCTAATGGAGACCTACTGCAGAACCCCAGTAGAGAAGGTGCCGGCATAATCAAAATACCCACTCAAAAGAAATATATCAGAAATAAACATATAGATTTTGTTTATTGGAATTAACTCGAAGAACTGGTTGATCGCCTTCGATTGCTTTGGAGTTCATGAATGGCTGGACATACCGGGCACGATAATGAAATATTAGCCATAATTGAGGAATTACGTGAAGAAGGATTAGTCTACTGACCGTAATATAATGAACACGATGTATGAAGCTGATTCAGTTACTCACAGACGATCCAACTATGCATACCACAATTGACAAATTTGGGCGTACAAGGGGTGGTGTTAGTAAACCACTTGTTGGAAGATCAGGTGTTGGATTCATTCTCACACCATATGGTGATTATGACATTCAGAATAAGCGGTTGCAGAATATTGGTGAACCTGTAGACGGTGAAGACTCTGTCACTAAAAGATATGTTGACGATCACATTAAATAAGCCAAGGAATCAACCCTGAACTATTTCCAAGAATTCATTGCATCAGCGCTACGATACGTCAAAAAAACATTGATTCAAAAAATACCGAACTGCGAATCATCATTGACAAAAATGCACTCATCACTTCTGCATTAGCTGATCAATTGAATAATGTGGAAAAGCAAATTGGTGTTATAACCTAGTTGGTTGATATTTTTACTGAGCGAGTTATTGAAGTTAAACAGCCAGTCGTTAAACATGCACGTGAACAGTAGCGAACTGAATCCTCAACTTCATCACTTCGAAGAAGCCATATAGCAGTAATATGAGTGATGCAAAATGGCAGGTTGGAAAGGAAATACATAAGCCGACGCATCGAAATTGTCCCTGTCGAAAGACAATAATAAAGGGATCTTATGACTTGTGGCAGATGGATCTGATGGAAATGCAACCATATGCTAAAGAAAATTATGGTTATAGATACATCCTCATAGTAATCAACTGTTATTCGAAGTATGTATGGTCAAGACTATTGAGAAATAAAACTGCTGATTCAGTTACTGCAGCTATGGCGAGTGTGTTGAAAGATGCGAAGCATGTCCCAAGGAACTTACAATCTGATCACGGTACCGAGTTTTATAATTCAAAATTTTCATCGCTAATGAGAGAGCACCGTATCAATAATTACTCAACATTGAGCACAAAAAAGGTTGCAATTGCGGAAAGAGTCATCAGGACGTTGTAAAGTTGGCTTTATAGAGAATTTTCACTTCAAGGCCATTACAGTTGGTTGAATATTCTTCCTAAAATCACCAGTCAATATAACAATAAAGTTAATCGTACCATTGGCATGAAGCCTGCAGACGTAAAACCATCCACAAAATTGACAATTTATGCAAGATCAAAGAAATAGCATGGAAAACGCAAAGAAAAAAAAATTTATTGGAAATATGGTGCGAATCAGTAAGTATAAAGGCATATTCGAAAAAGCATATACAGCAAACTCAACAACTTCAAAGTTGTAAAAGTAAATAGAACAGATTCTATAAGTTATCCGCTCGAAGATGTGAACGGACAGCCAATTAAAAGTTCCTTCTATGGTATGGAATTGAATAAAACCCATGAACCCAATACATATTTGGTGGAGCGAGTTTTGAAATGAAAAGGACGTCGTCTATATGTAAAATGGCTGGGATTCTCCGAACATCACAACTCATGGATCAATGAAAATTCATTATATTGAGAATTTTGTACTATTCGCCTTCTGCTAATTGTTACACTTATTAGAATCGTTTTTCAGTCTTAAAGGTTTTTAACTTTTAGTAACTAACAAATAAATTATGATTATTCGCTGTTATTATTATGTTTTTTATTGACTCCATAAAGTCAAAAAAAGTGTTTTTGTGGGAACCGCGCTATGTGAGTTGCCCGTTTTTCAATTGCATTCAGTTTCAGTACGCATGAAAACAAACAGTGATATTAACTATGGCAGATTAAACATAAAACTATACACCAAACCATTATTTTTAACACCTCGACACGTGTTTCGATAACCAAGTGGTCATCTTCAACAGGAAGATCAAACTGTTTGATATTTCTATTGAAGATGATAACTTGGTGATCGAAACACGTGTTAAAATAACGGTTTGGTGTTGGGGAAGTGATTATCTCCATTTCATTATCTTGAAATGTTCCTTATACCTCATTTAAATAGATCTTCCAGTATGTTCATGATATTTTGCATGGTGTTCCTTACATTTAATTTAGTAAATTTAGTAATTCTCGATTTTTTCCTTTGAATTTCCTAAAAGACTCTGTAGTGTATGACTTGTTTTGAATACTACCTTCATACCTAGTTCCTGGAATACTTTTCTAAAGTTCTTCGTATATATCTACCTACACAGAAAAGTCACAACGCGATGATATAGATCAGTCGTATCACTACGGCCCGCGATCGCAGTGTGTCACAAAAGAAAAGAATAATGATTTTTGAGTGTTTAGACTTCACTCAATTTCTCTATGGAAGTTTGAGGTGCGTACACTATATTTATTAGTAATTTCAGGGGAAGCGCATGCCAAGACAAGAAAAAGAGGGTTAGTTAGGTATATACCTATTTAGTTCTAGTGAACAACTCAATCGTAGACAGTAACGCCATCTCTTAGCAACAGTGAACCAAAAAAAATTGGAATAATATTCGCAACTTCTGCAAAATCTGATGACGGAATTCAACAATCGTTTGGGTACGAATGAACATCTCCAATCAATTCTTAAAATAATTACAACAAATATAATACCTGACACCAATAAGCTTGTCAAAAACAAGAGAAGTCAGGTATCTATATCACATAGCTCAAAATTAGCCTTAATTACCACTTATTGCCTTAACATTATAACTCAGGGGATAAGATTAATAGATACGGAATGAATAAAAAACATATTTTACATTTTTTTAACTTTTTCACTCTCAAATCACAAATTGTTTTCTGTAATGTACACTACACTTGTGAGCGGCGCACTGACTGGTGTGGTAAGGCTTATAGCCCAACGCGAATCTACTGTGAAGAAGACGCAACTATTGCTTTACTCTTTATGTCCAATATGGTGTTGACTCAGTGTACCCTTCTGACTGTTGCCACAATGATCCTACATGTAAAGTAACAAAATGAGACAGGTTTTGAATATTACCACGAACAAAAAAAAAACTTTCTGGAAACATTCATTCTACGAATATCAGTGAATCTATCCCACTTCAGTACGTTGACCAACAAAAATACCCGTTTTAATCCAAAATGATATATTGGTGTTTTTCCGTTAACCAGCTATCGCTCTCTTATGAATGACAACCATCAGAAGTCGAAACTTGTGCAAGTCCCACCTTTTAACATGAGATTTTTAGCAGTTGTTGTATAATATGTGGTAGACATTGATTATCTGACAGTTGGATAGAACCAATGTTTACATAGCGGTTGATTGAATAAGAAGAACTAACGTTCGCAGATTGGTTATAGTGAGTGCTATTGCTTTCTTTAGGACAACTGGGCGATTGCATATTATTTGATAACATTTCCTGAATACTTCGGATTCATATGAAAACAGGAAAAACATAAATAAAGTGAAATGATGGAAGTAAATATATAAATTTTACTGATATTTTATTAATCGCTAGTTCTTCATTATTCATCTCAACCATTTCTAAAATTAATCTTCTCGAAGGATTTTTTTAGTATGTGAAGTTTCAGTAATAATATAATCAATATGATGGTCATACTGCCAAGGAACATAATTTAATATTTCTCCTACAATCACTCTTCCGAGAGATAATGCGACTAATGTTTTAGGTGTCTGACCAATATGACTTCACAAGTTCAACAAGGAATTTTGTAAATGCAGGGTACAGTGAGTACCACGAATTTGTCTTATTTACCTACCCGACGGAAGCAGTCGTACACTGACCAAAGGTCAGGTCCTCACTAGATTGATTAAAATACTCTATTATCTGTCGATATGGCAAATGATTATTTTCCACAAGAAAATTCAAATCATGGTAGTAGAGCACCTACTCTATGCATGGCCCGTCTCCGACCGTATCAGGTTTTCAGTTTTTGGCAGAGTATGACTCTTGACAGCTGATCTTGAAAGATTATTCACCAAATAATAGACTTTGTCAAGAAACTGAATTCATTTGGTCAAGTTTGAAGTTGCAGTGGAGCATTGAACAGGCCCACTCACTTTGGACCTACCAACCTTTCTACCTAATTGCAGAAAATGTGCATTTAAAATTATTATAGAATTTTCAGGATATAGGTTTAGAAAAAAAACTAAATGATAGATTTGGTAAATATAATAAATGAACAGATTATCCGATTCAATGTGAATTCAGTCTAAAATATTTCGATTACTATGATATCACAACAAACTGAGATTTTTTGTGAGTTTGTTTATTTCATCTTCTAAACCGAATAAGCTCAAGACAGTAACTGATCCTGGTGGTATTTGGGTAAGTCCTCCATCTTCAACTAGGTAACATGGAATATGAAAATCTTTTGCTTTCTCCAAAAGCTCTTTCAAATGAACATCATCATTGCCTTTCAATACAATTTTTTTCTCGCTGAAATAAAATTTGTTACTATATTACTAAAAGAAATATTTACACCCTGAAAAATGGCATTTTTCTTATAGACTAAAGAAAAACCTTGTACTTTATTTTCGAGTTCCTATGGTTCAAACTAGTATACCTTATGAATTGTTATATAAGCTTCCCTGCTTAGTATGAAGTTACAAAAAGTTAAAAACGATGAAAACTTATTTTTCTTCAATATATTTTACGAAACCTTCGAGATAATAAATATTACCCTGAAATGTTCACTCATTTCAAAAATTCAGTTTTTTTATTGCAGAAAAACAGATTTTATTTATATTCCCTGAATTGCGAAATTTTTCGATTAGCCACCACTTTTTATAACATCTAACTCAGTCGTGTCAATGATATGGCCCGCCATCGCAATGTGTCACAGAAAGAAGATTCATGTTTTTCAGAGCTACATGGTAAAAATCTGATTGTCACTCGAATGTATTCATGTATTCAAGCCTTTGAAACAAATTTGAGGCTATGGGAAAATCAGGTAAAAATCAAATTTTGGATATCATTTCCCTCATTTAAAATCATTTGGCACAGTGAAAAAAAATTGGATCAATATTCTCAACTTCTGTAAAATCTAATCACGGAATTCAACAATCGTTTTGAAGACTTCCATAAAATGAATGAAATGGAATTTTCAATTTTCAACAATCCATTCAGTTTTTAAGCTACACAGGCACCAGTTCGTTTGCAAATGGAGCTGATGGATCTTCAATCGGACAGTATTTTGAAAGAAAAATGTAAGGAGTTTTAACACTCTTACATTTTATACACAATATTTCAAGAGTTTGATAACCAAACAGAATTAAAAAAGTATACAGCAAGAATTCTGTGCATGTTTGGTAGTACCTATTTATGTGAGCAGATGTTTTTCGTCATGAAAATAAATAAGAATAAACCTCGCAAACAAACCAAACCAAACAAACATTTCCAATCAATTCTTGAAATAATTAACAACGAATGTGATAACTGACATCAATGAGCTTGTCAAAAACAAGAGAAGTCAGTTATCTGGATCCTCGAGCTCAAAATATAATTACCCCCTTTTATAACTTTGATATGATTTTCAACAACCATATATTATATACCTACTGTATAATTGAATAAATAAAATGTTATAATAATTCAGTACATTTTTTTATTTGAATCGGCCCGCCTACATGCACATTCTAAATTTAATATATGGGCATCTGCGAAATTGAGTTTAACACTCTGATCTAACTGATGCTCAAATTACTTATTGAAGTTGACAAAAGAATTGGAAAATGTATAACAATAGTCTTGCACTGAAGTCGTTTATCAAATAGGTAGGTAGATAACTAAATTTTTCATTAAAGATACCATAGTACTAATTGCCTTTCCAAACTGTAAAATTAGTTTCTAAAATGGGCACTGATTCAGAATTGGCCATGAACTGTATTTTATTGATACGCCAATATAGCACAAGGTCAGTGTTTCCCGATATTGATATAATGTAAGCTAAATAAACTTATTGTCATTTTACCATATTCCTGTAGAACACTGATCTCAACGTGTGCTTCACCAATTAGGATGGAGTATCCGAAAAGAATCTCGACTGTTGAGATAATCTCCTGATGCGCCAACTTGATTAGTAAAACGTGTGTCAAGCAAAATTTTATGGTTCTAGTGTGTAGGACAAGTGTCTGTTTGATTCATTATATGCCAGATTTTCTATTTTTACTTATAAACTTATTAATCAACCGTGAAGAGTTGATGATAAAAATTTATCCCGAGATACTCAGCAGAAACCTGTATACAGACAGGTTGTAACCCAAATATCAGATGAGAGCTGGAAGCTGGAATACACTGTACACGTAGAAATTTACATTACACATGCCCATTAAATTAATACATATCAGTCTTCCAGGAGGAAAAATATACAATCTCTGCAATGGGTAAATTAATGTGAGACCTCAAATGAATTATCAGATCAATATCCTCACAACCAGGCTGCACTAAATGCAGACAGACCCAAGAGTGAAATAGGAACTTGTCTGAAAATGACTTGAAGAACTGAAGAAACAGGCAGACAGGAACAGATTCACTCTATACTAGGTAACAGGCAATGAACCCTTAACCAACTGTGGGTACACTAAAACCTTAGGTTTAGGACCAGCTCAGAAAATGGGTCAATAGCAAACATGAAGAATACTGGAAATTGTTAGTGAATGAACAAAAATTCATAATAAGCCTTGTTTGTTTTATTGTGTTTCCATGACATTGTTGTAGTTTTTCATAAGTGAAGTTGAGTTAAACACATTCTTCTCTTGCTGTTTAACTCAAGTCTTGGATTATCAATTCTCAACAGGCTATATGAGCCCAGATATCGCTCGGGAAAGTTCAACTCAATTTTGACAACTGCTAAGTAAGAGCATAGTCAGTTTCTGCCGAATTCAATTAAAGAAAGACCATTCAACAGTATAGCAGCACCCTATCATCTAACAATGATATACCACCGATGGAGAAACTGATTGGACGTGAAAATTGCTACATGTGGAAATTTGCGATGCACGCTTACCTCGAATACAAAGAATTATCAAATTACATTCCTGGTGATAAACAAAATACAAAGAAAATTACAAAAGCCAAGTCTAAGATAATCCATGCCTCAGAACTCATCAATTACATATATGCATCTACAACCCCTTTGAAGATTCTAAACCCGAAAAGTAAGACTTCTTGCACTCCACTCCAATCACCACACAGCTTGACAATTGTTGTTCAACATGAATAAGTCACTTTTTAATTTACTTTAATTATTTAGATCAGAACATAATACCTGATATTTATTATATTTTATTTGTTGATATCTATGTAATTTTTGACCAAGAGTCATCCTTGAAAATGGTTGATATATTTTGGTCTTATTTATGATTTCATAGAAGTGGATATTTTGATTTAGGTATGAAGATAATTTGTTGCTTAAAATCTATAACAAGTTTGAACATATACCGGGTGTCCCAGAGCTTTTAGGCCAGCAGATATCTCAGTTACCTGCAGAACAAAAATTAAAACAAAAATATGTATCTTAGGAGAACACAAGCACTTTCATGCAGCATAGCAAAATCCACCCACTGGTAAACAACCCCCAAGAAACCACCCCTAACTTTTGTTTTTCAAATGGCACGCCCATGTTTGTTTTGGTTCAACTTACAGTCTTTTTCATTTCTCGGTCAAAGATGTATCATGGTAGGTAGAATGACATGCAGAATCATAGAAAATAAAAACACAAATGAAATATTAATGTTTAAGGTCATCTGTTTTTTGATACATGATACTTCATAAAATGTTCAAAATGTTGGCCAGCACTTGCCACACATGCTTCAAGTCGCCGAATCAGCGCGCGAGTACAGGAAGCCCTAATCATTTCCGGAGTAACGGTATGACATTTTTTTTTCTGCATAATGAATGCATCATTTGTATAACTTGAGGATCCTCAGAAAATGGGACCATATGACAAAGAACTCTGAAAACATAAATAATCCAAACTGACTGATTGCTTCAATAAAAAACAAACAGATCTCAATTTGGCTACCAATTTTTTAATATGTCCTTCCCAAGTTGATTTGTGATCTATTGTAACTTCTAAAATTTTTATTGATTCGGTTTGTTGAATTATTTGTTGATTCATTTATATTGTTCAACTAGGATCATAACTAATATTTTCAGATAAAAATGCCATGAAAAATGTTTTATTGGTATTAAAAGATAATTTATTGTTGTGACAAAAATCATAAAATATTTGTGCGCTTATATTTGCCCTTGCACAACACTCTTGAGCTGTTAGGTGTTTTAGGCAAACTTCGTGTCAGCTGAGAACACAATTTGTAAATCGAATTGTTTTTCTAAGTTAGGTCATTCATGAAACTATGAATAAGAGTGGCCCAAGTACGGAATCCTGAGGTACCTTCCTTAAGTAACATATTGTATGTCAAATATACCATTGTTTAACACTATACACTGACTTTTCGCAACTGAATATGAGCTCAGGCTGTCATTACCTATTCCTTTAGCACCCAGATATTCTAATTTATCAAGCACCATCTTATGGACTACGATATCAAATGTCTCTTTTAGATCATAATTGAGCACAAGCGGAGTTTCCTTTCTATTCAACGTGTCATAGACAAAAGATATAAAGATATGAGTTTACTTAGAGCAGTGACTATAGATTTAGCACTATTTCACATATTTCATCGATTCCAGGACATGGCATCAGCGATGATCTTTTTAGAATTTATCCAACTTCAATGGTTGTAACTAGGATAATAATTAAAGTTTTCAATTAACGATGGGAGAATTTGATATTATTGTATTTTGGCTTGGCACATGAAACATCTATGAAATGAATTGATGGATGTAGTCGTTACTATGTGGTAGGAGATTATCATGAAAAATGAGAATTGAAACTTCCTATGTTTTTATAAATGTTTAACATAAATCATGGGTTATCAGTTCTCAAGATACTTGGGAAAGTACACAAGAGCACTTTTATAAAGGGTCCATCTAAGAAGAAACTGACAAACTGCTTCAACAGGGCAGGGATTTGCTCAAAATAATTACACGGCTTCTCACTGTCCATTCAGAGAACAGGAAAGTGTTATGGAGAGCATAGCTGCAGGTAGTGCAACAATGGGGTATAGGATAGCTCTTTATATTTCACAGGAGGCAAGAAATTCATGAGAAATCTAAATTATTCCTAGAAGAATATGACAAATATCCTACAAAAAGACCTCTATAAATTAGAATAGGAAATATTGTTGGAATGAGCGTAATGAAAAGATGAGTAGACAAATACTATAATCCCATGAGGCTACAAAGATATAGAAAGAAATGTGTAAGATGGCTTCAATATAATGAAATACAAACTTTTATAAACACATCATCCCCAGATATTTCTTCTAGATGAAAAAGGCAACTTCTTTCTAGTGAAATTCAATTACACTATTGCTTTTTCTTTTTCAATTAGTATGCCAAACATTAATAATAGAACTTGATACTGACATTATTCATGGGAAATAACAATGAATGAAATATTATTAATAATTAATTTCGCTAACATTTTCAAGTTTTCAATCTTAAAGTGGACCTATATTTTTGAGTACAAAAATATCCCATTTTTCATCAGCAGTATATTTTGGATAATCTCTGGGGAGGAGGATCTTCATCAATCCTTATGGCTTGTGAAAGAGTACACACATACTATCAGTATGGAATTCATATCAAATGTGCAACAGCTCATCTCAAAAGAGAATGATGTAGAGATTACAAAGAGGATGTGTAGCAATGTGTTCAAAATAATGCTGATATGTTGTTGACAAGTGTCATTCAAAACAGGATACAGTTTTTGAACATAGTGTGTTTTGTTGGTAAATTCCAAAACTGGAATAGCCATGCTAGTCATTTTTATGGTGTTTGATTTGTAATCCAAAGTACACTTCTAATGTCATCCAAAACAACAGAATTTTTGGTGAGAGAACTTGAAATGTTTCTTAAAATTGTTATTGATACTATCAATAACATCATTGGTGGTTTTTCTTTGATAGGCACTTCTGATTATTCTAGCCATGTTGGTAGGATACAAAAAAACATCACCTACACTAAATTCTGTGGGTAGAATTTTTCATTTAAGGGATTGTGTAGCATTTTTCATGAAGAATTTCTGTGAATTTCAATTATGAAATTTAATGTACAAATTGACACAGATAATGTATAAGTCAGTAGTGAATTAGTTATTTTAGAAGCACTATTTTTCATAAAAAAACTATCATCCATTATTTGCACAAAAGATATTTTTTTTATTTTGTGGATCAAGATCTTCAGATGATGTGGTGCTGCAGGTTTTTCCAGGTTTTCCTGAAGCTGAAAAAGCAAATGCTCGTGTTTACTAAGCACCTCAGGTGAGTAATAGATGTTTGGTAATATTGGCACTATATAATTTGCTGTCTGCACATTTATATATTGTTTGTGCTTATTTGTAATTGCTTTGTGCTATTTGCTTTGTAATTTGTGCTATTTAGTAATTTTTGGGCTTGTGTTTTTATAAATAACAGGTGGCTATAAATAGAACATATAATAAGACATTTCTCCATATATAGCCAATGAGATGGTTATATTTAGACGAATGTTCTGCCATTTTTAGCCATGTTTTTTTTAGCGTAAATATTTCATCAAAAATGGCACCGACAAAAAAAAAAGGTCAAAGGACCATAATTTTGGACAAAGGAATAAAGGTCCTATTCGTCAATACACAGAAGAACAACTTGCACGTGCACTTCAAGCAGTCGAACAAGATGGAACGGCGGTGGCAAAGGCCAGCAAGAGTTTTGGGGTGCCTAGAACAACCTTGCGTGATAAATTAAGTGGAAAAACTTCGACCAAGAAGGAAAAAGTTGGCAAAAAATGTTTTCTAGGTAAGGATGTTAGACAACTACTAATAAAAAGTACCTTGAAAACAAATTCGTTTTTAGGTAAGGACATTGATGACCAACTTGAAAAGTGGATATTGACCAATGCAAGCCATGGGTTTCCAGTTAATAAGGAAGGGCTAATGTATTCTACTCAGCAAATATTGGAAATGGTTCGAATCCTTCTTGAAACGTCATCCTCGAATAAGCCAAAAACACTCAGAATATATTAACAAAGCCAGCGCTGCAGTTACCGAACAAAAGATTAGGGCTTAGTTTGCCGAAGTCAAGAACTCAATTGAAGATATTGAAGTTTTTAGTCAACCAGAAAGAGTCTGGAATATGGACGAAACCGCTGTGTTTCTGTCACCAAAAGGAGCACTGATTTTGAGAGAAAAGAGAAAAAACATATATAACATAACTTCAACGTCTGAGAAAGACAATGTTACAACTTTAATAACAGTAAACGCTGCAGGTCAAATGGCTGCTCCATTAACAATTTTCAAGTATGATCGCTTGCCTAAATCAGTTTTGGAGGCAGCGCCTATAAACTGGAGCATTGGCAAAAGTGACAGTGAATGGATGCAGAGTGAACAGTTTTTTGAACACTTTGCCAATATTTTCGACCCTTATCTATCAAACACCAATATTCAACGTCCTGTTGTAGTTTTTCTAGATGGTCATTCATCACATTTGTCGCTTCCAATTAGCACTTTTTGTCAAGAAAAAAACATAATTTTAGTGTGTCTTCCTCCAAATTCGACCCATATTATGCAGCCACTCGACGTCGCATTTTTCTTCCCTCTTAAGCAAGCTTGGAAAAAAATCACAAGAAACTGGTTATTTAACCATGACGGTGAAATCTTAAAAAAAAAGACGTCCCCGCTGCTTTAAACGAAGTTCTCTGAAATGGAAATTTTAAAGATAGTATAATTGACGGCTTTCGAACATCAGGACTATTTCCGCTTAATCCTAATGCTGTTAATTATAGTAAATGTATAAAACCACAGTCCCGTGTTCGAGAAGATATACATACAGAAGTTAACCAAAGTCCTGATAAAAACGTAGCCTTAAGATGCATAGAAAAACAAATTAATAAAAGGACTGTTTTAGATCTATTTAACAAAACATTTGAAAGAAAGGAAGAATGGTAGGGAGATATCACATACTTAGAACTATATAAGTTATGGAGGAGTCGCAGAGAAGCCTCAGATATGGTTACTATTGAAAAAGAACTACCTTCAAATGGAATTTTGGAAGATGCACCTCTAGAAATTTTAGATAGGGACCATACGGAGATCAATGAAGATGGAGATATCATTTTTGAATTTCCAGAGTGGAATGATGATAATGACACAAATATCGACACCAGTTCAAATTTTGAAGCTAATACAAAAATAAGTGATGCACCAACTATCAATAATTGGGACAATATGAATCTTGATCTCGGTAATAGTGACACCAATACCCCTGCAATTGATATAAAATCTACAGAAAGAGCAGAAGCGACGAAATTTCAAAGCGTAGAAAATATAAGTGAGACAGATTCCTTTGATCAGTTAGCAATGAGTAAGGACGATAAGAATACGCCAAAAAATTAATTATCTATCAGAATATAGTTATAAAGCCTAAAAACACTATTAAAGATATTCTGGAAGATGTTCTTCAGTATCCCAAGCCTAAAGCTTCAATAAAAAACGAAAAAAGGATGACCTGCCTTCAGTTTTGACTACCGACAAGTGGATTCGGATAGCTAAAGCTGATGAATTGTCAAGAAAAGAAGAGGAAAAAAATCAAAGAAAACGCAAGAAATAAGAAAAGCAGAGGAGCATTCTTAACAAAGAAACAATAGAAACAAACAAAATTAAAAATGGAAAAAGAAAACTGACACAGATATAGTACCAATAAACGATGACCTATCAAGTCGCCTCACACCTCCAAAAGATATGATAAATACGATTAAAGCAAAGACAAAAGAAGAAACTAAAAAATGGGATCTGGGTTCTTATGTAATCGTTCAATATGATCGAATGTATTATCCAGCTAAGATTTTAAAAATAGATGAAAATGATATTAAGTGCTCAGCGATGGAAAAAAGTGGATAACACTGGAAATGGCCAGATGTAGCTGATATTACATGGTACCCTTCAGACAAAGTGATTGAAGTAATAACGGAGCCTGAAAAAGTTAATTCTCGAGGTGTATTCTCTGTTCGCCAAATGTGCGATTATTCCTAATGACACATAGGTGTATTATGTATTATATAATAACCATGAAACTTGTTTTTGTAAAACAATGAATTAGGTAAGCCTAATTCATTTCAATTATTTCTAAGTCCTAGGTAGGTACCAGCTTAAAATTAAAATTTAAGTAAAGTGGCTATAATAGGAAAAACTGCAGTTTTCCGTTATTTTGTTTTTTTTTTTTTGTTAGGAAAGGATCGCTTTATTTTCTTTTACAAATGGTTACAACAAGGACTAAGCGATCTATCATTCTATATAATAGAACATAACCACACATAAACTTCATGCAAAATACAATTCATAAACTATTAAATAATCCTTACAGTGGCTATAACTGGTACGTCGACCCTACACCTCTACAATGGTAAGTTACAATAATTTTATAATTTCATCTCGAACATGCATAAGAATTATCAAAATAATAAAAAAATTACCCCATATTCTCCCATCTTTCTAATGACTTTTGTTCATTATGTCTTATCAAATCCTGATATAAACCTAAACAGGCATGTCCAACCTGTAAAAAACTTCATTAATTGAAAAAACCATATTAATACAATCAATATACTTGTGCTGCAATTTTCCCTACTCCCATTCTCAAAGACATGTTGACAACAAAACTCATTTTATAGTACTGTTCCTCTTCTTCATCTGAGCTTTCATCTTCATCACTTTGAGGACCTGTCTCATTTGAAACACTTTGAGGAATTGTTTCATGGGATTCTCTGTGTTCATGTTCCTCTTCTGATGTTTGCGGAGTTGATGAAAAATTTTCAGGTTCACCATGATCCCTAAATATATATTGAACTGCTCTGTCAAGTGACACATTTTCTGTAACAAAAAGAGCCTACAAAAATACTCACATCAAAAAATAAAATTATTCAAATTAATTACCCACCTCATTTGCCTTTTCAAGACTTATTCCCATTGAAACCAACTCATGTAGAAAATCCTCATTTGGTTCCCATGATTCACTCATTGTTTTAATGATTCAAAAAAAGTTACTGTGATAAAAAGCTGAACACACCTACCAGTGGTTTATTGAGTCGGTATAATCAAGCCCAAGATGGAGATATTCGACAATTTCGAGAACTTCTCGATTTTTACTCTGAACACAGTTTTTAGACAATACTCATTTAAAGTTGAACAATAATCAAATAATATTCTCTTTCGTCGTATCCTATGTTTAATGTTTACGTTTTACGTTACACTTTTGTGGTTATATTCAGGGTACAGAGGAAATTTCATTCATCTGCATCGTATCACAGCATAGGCATAGGCAACAATATCACAGAACACCTGTAGTTAGGGTGTTCTGTGACAATATGCTGTCATGCTGTGTAGTCTCACAGCATACCAGTGTTGCAGACTAGTAGAACTATAAAGTCGCTACACATGAATCAAAATTCCGCCACACTGCTTCATACGCTACGCTTGTATATCTAACACAATCAGTTGACTCATGCGCCATATCCAAAATTGAATACCACAGAACTTACAGTTTGTAGTTTGTGTACCGTTCAGATACCACCAAATTGCTGTCACTAATGTAAGTAATCAGGATCATGATAATTTTCAATCGCCCAAATCAATGGATGGTACCTAATTTTCTAAGTTTACAGCAGTTAATTTTTGAAATTTGTCGTCTAGACCAAATATTTCTCAGCTTGAAAAAATGATTTTGAAACGTAAAAATAAGAGTCATAATCAGATGAACTATCTTCTATAGTAGATGAACAAGGCGGGAACGAGACCACTTCAAAGTCATGCGTCGCTGGTAAGTATTTCAGAGAGAAACTTTAGTGAGTGTAAGAGAGAAACGTGTGATGTCATCGACGCAGGATGGAACGGGTATCGTAGCGATTCAAGCATGGAACTCGGCCCCCTTGGTACTCCGCCTCACCTATCATCCCCCTTAGTACTCCGCCATCGGCCCCCTTGGGACTCCGCATCACCGCTCAGGCCCTCTTGAGACTCCGCATCACCCCTCGCCCCTTTGTCTCGTGCCAGTGAGGTGATTCTAATTAAAAAAGTTATAAGTTATAAGTTCTAATTAAAAAATAGTTATAAGATTCGAACCTGGGTCGTCCACGAGGTAGACATCGTCCTTAGCCTCTACACCAACGTAAGATATTGAAAGTAACTGCGAATGTTGGGTATTTACAGCGTAAGATTTGTCGGGACCGAAATTGATAGGAAAATATACTTAGATTTGGGAAATAATTAATATTTCATGTAAAGATGTGTATGTGTGTGTAAGAGCGAGAGATGCGTGTGACGTAATCGAGGCAAAGAGAGATGGAGATGATATCGAGGTTTTACCGGTTACTAGCGCAAGCAGGTGTTGCCGGTTATACAATAAATCATTGTATATGGGACAATGTAGCATTGCCGGATACTTAGATTTGGGAAATAATGGCAAGTTCGGCGTTACCGGTTGTAAAATTCGTCGTTGTTTATGGGGCAATGTAGCGTTGCCGGTTTGAAAATGAAGGGTTAGGAATACGACTGTGTACAGTATGTCTCAAAATACATCATTTAAAGAAAAAAACATGGCGTCGAAGTGTGCAGGGTGCGTCAAAATATACCATTTAAGAAAAAGCAAGTCAGTTTAACAGAAGTCTAGCATTCCAACATGCCAAAAGGGCACTAATTCTCGTATCTTTGTTAACCAAGTTAGCATCATCAGGAGAAAGAGGAGATCCAAAAGTGTCGAGAGGTTAAGCGTTGTGGACTCAACGTGAGGGCAATGGGGGAGCAAAGTATTCGACAATGACATTTCAAAATACGTTGTTTTGCATAAGTTTCGATGGAAAACGATGTTCCGTACGTTTTCGACCGTTTTTCGTGTCTTTACGACCGTTTTTCGTGCGCCGGTTTTGCGTGTGTTTTCGACCGTTTTCCGTGCGTTTTCGATCGTTTTTCATGCGCTTTCGATCGTTTTTCGTGCATTTTCGACCGTTTTGCATACGTTTTTTAATTTTTTTGAGGGTATCATAAGGCGGTAAAAAGAAGAAATGATTTTGAATAGAAATTTATTATACATTTTTATTTTGGTAATATATCACAAAGCCATTTGTATAAAATATCTACGTTTCGGAGACTGCAATTGTAGTTGGTTCGCTTGTGAATGTGATGCATACAGGGTGAGACACCTTCGTTGTTGTCGAATCTGGGAACCATCCATGTTGTATTGTCATAGCCCTCCAAATTCACAACGCGTGTAGGTATATTCAACCCGTGAAATCTTTCAGTTAGAAAGTCATGTTTTTGATGTCTTCGCACATAAATGACATCGACCCCTTGTAGATTTTCCGTGAAGATGGCATCCAATTGATTATATTCCACAAAGCCAGAGCAATACCTCAATCCGTGAATGTTTCGCTCCAAGTAACAGGCGGTACAGCGATCTTCTTTACTCAAACAGAAAAATGGTGTGTTTGGCAGCAGTAAAAAGTTACTACACTGAATTCCAATCCTAATGGCTATTTCTTTAGGATGGAATTTTTGCTCGACGGTGAAGCCTTGAATATCTACAACAGCTATTCTCATGTTGACTCTTCGATTGATACTGAAGCAAAATCACATGTTCAGTTCCATTTTTTAATATTTTCGCTGAGTGGGAGGTGTTCTATGACAGTGTTGTGCACAATGATGCAATAGGCTCTAGTATTTCGAGGAAATTCCTTGGATGCTTCGATTTCAAGTTTTACATCAACACTGGAATTTTTGATGCTCTCATCCTTTCTGGAACAATCGATGACAAATAGAGCTTTGTTCGTAAAGACGGTGGAAGTGAGAAGAGGAAAGAGGATTATGTTGATTAGCCAATTTGTAGCTGAGACCAAATTGTGAGTAGTTGAAATAAGCTTGCGAAAAATTCCCCTTTGCAAAATTCAAATGCATATTTTCCTTGGGTTAATTCTCACCGTCTAGAGTGAGCGTTATATTGGTGATATTCAAATGATTTAATATTGTTGGATCATTGTTGACTTCAGTGTAGTCACGATTTTTTTGGAAACATACAATTACATAGCGAGGGCTTTCGAGAAACGAGGAAGTCTTGACGGCCAATATTTCATTTTTTGCACCTTGTGTGAGAGCAGGCAGCATTTGAAGTTCCCATTTTCTGAACGGTATGAGAATAGGAGTGTTTGCTTGGATAGCTTTCAAAAGTTGCAATTTAATTTGATCATGCGGAAAAACTCGTTTAACTTTCAGTTCGATATTTTCAATTTCTAATTTAACTTCCGTTTTCGGTGTTAGTGCAGCAGGAATCTCTTCTATTTTGGAACAGTTGCTATCATCTCCAGCTCGTACTAATTGAATGGTATATTTACCGTAGGAAACACACTGATAATCGTTGAAAATATTCAAAAATGCTTGATGGGTATGAGCATGTTGAATGATAGATGAGTTGTGTTGACGACGCCTGTATTGTTGGGAAAAGTCCAACCGGAGGTGGCCAAGTGTTTGATATCTTCATCGGTGTGATTGAGGAAGTCTCTAACAGTACTAACAATTCCAAGTTCACGAACTGCTTCCAATTCCTTACCACTCTGCCCATAACTAGCAGATTGAAACATGAAAGCACCAGCATCGTTTACGAATGACACCTTACCGTCCCCTTTGGTCTTCTCATCTTTTCCACTAATGAACAGCAGACTATCGTACAAATAGTAAAAAGCCATAATGCATTTTTTCCAAAAACTGATGTTTTCTAAAGAATATACACTTTCCAATTTAAATCAGAAATTTTCTTTCTATCCTAAATTTTCTGTTGAATTTAAGAACTCGCCTGAATTGATAGGCTCATCAGTGAATTCAAGAACTCGTCTTTATTTTCTATGGTCATTCTGCCACAGAGCTTGGAAGATACTTTACAGTTGTGTCAACGAAAGCACCGACGAAAGTATTCATATACGTCATTAATAGTTGTTTTGTTGTCACCTACATTGAGTAAAGTATACTATACTAAAACCAATAATGATTGAGAGTAGAAGTAAGCCCAGTTGACAGCAAATCGGGGGCGTGCTTATTAATTTTTTAGAGGGTTAAGAATGAAAGAAAAATTCTTAGTACAATTAGTTAAAATATTCATACACATTTTTTATTTATTTCATTAAAACTTTGCAATATCGTAATTTACCTAATCGTTGTAGTCATTAGGTGGGCCTTATGAAAACGGAGTAATAATCGTGGTAATTATAGTAGGTACCAAATAAATTAACAATATTAATAAAAAACACAATATA